TATCTCGGGCATGGAGGCTTCGTTAGATGCGTTATACGAAAGCATTTCATTATATTCACGTAATAACACTACCATCATTAGGTATGTTATTATCAATTTGGTGTTTACAGAAACAGATACTCAATTTTACTAAACATAAATAATTGATTAGTTTTAGGTATATTCATTTTACATCTATATCTACGAGGTTAAATATTTACAACTAAAAAATATAATAACAAACAAAAAGTCAAAACTAAAAAGCAAAAAATAACTATTATTAGTACTGATAGGTTACCCACCCACTGATAGGTAAGAAGTCGGTGTCATAAGTTCCATACAAAATTATGTATTCATTAAAACCTTAATAGGTACCTAATTCACAATTTTGTGCGCATTAAGTTATATCATTATAATATGAGGTTTCCCTAGGATCCCATCATCAGATCCTGACCTCATGGAAATGGGACCATCTCGGGAGTATACCCTTTCAAACAAAACAAGAATTATGGAAATCGGTTCACAAATGGCGGAGTACTGCGCGAACAAAAAAAAAACAATCAGCCCAACATAGTACCTCCTCCTTTTTTTGAAGTCGGTAAAAACAAATAGCAACTAAGCTGGATGAACTAAATTCGGAAAATAGCAGAACAAATTCCACGAAATCGACGACCTGCGCTTTTTGGTTGCCAATGAATATACGATCTTATAGTGATACACTGTTAGTCGATAGTCAATGTTAGTACGAAACAACGAAATTAACGATCTGCACTATTCGTTGCCGATGAATATACAACCTTATGACAATACCATTAAAATCTATAATAAATGTCAGTACAAAACAACGACATCTCTTGTTGCTTTGAGAAACAAAATAGTTCCGCTGACATTTCATTTGGTGACGTAGAAGTTCTGCCAAAATGTAATAGATGGCATTTAGCGCTTATAGCAGAATGCTGTAAAAATAAACAGGCTGCGTATGCTTTATTTTTTCAACTGTTGGCTGTTTTAATCTGCTATATAATACAACGAACACCACTATCGATAACACAGATCAAACAAATGCTGTTCATTTAGTTGACGTTCGTCGTATAACACTACTCATATAAACGTCATTTTATGGTTTAAAATAGTTTAAATTTCCGTAATTAGCGCGTACATGTTGTAAAATGACGAAAATATCACGTAAAGTTAACGCAAAACACCAAACGTAAATGTCTCGAAAAATTACGTAACAAGTATGAAAATTCGCGCTATAGTAATAAATATA